GTGGATGCGCACTGCTGAGGAGTTCCAAAATAGGACGAAACGGCAGTTCAGTGCTTCCAAGTTTCCAAAGGTGGTGGTCTATCATCAATCGGTCCATGATCTCAATCAAAAACTTGATCATCTCCACAACCCCTATACTAGTAAAGATGGTTTCATTGATTAGAATAAAGAAAGCTGTACAACTATTTCTATTTGAATATATATATGAAGATCCAAGTTTTTTTTTCTCAGTTTAGGATTGTGATGATTGAAATTAAGAACTATTGTGGTGTGTGCTACTTATATTGATATAAGTAATAGATGATGTTAGTCGTGAACAGAAGGTCTGGCAGAAGAGAGACAAGAAGATCGAATAGTAAACAATCGAAACAGAATGCAATTTGTATGAAAATGCAAGAACAATGAAGTCTGAGTCATTATGAGACAATTGATGGACATTTTACAAATGAAGCATTCACTTTATGATTGATTGTTAGATTTTATTAACAAGTCCGATTGTCCCCACTGGTGTTCTGCTTACTACATTATTAATCATTTTTTTCTAATTGATCAACTAACTTACAGTTTGCGATTTCAGTTATGGCTTACAAAACATCAATTATTTTACTTACTTGATTTTGTTGTTTACTTGAATCTTTCCATTCATATTTAAGACTTCAAAGGATCAGTCTGCTATTAGTATATGTACATACTATGTGTATGAATAGCAGTTGGAAATAATTGGAACGAATTGCCCAGGACAGGGTTGGATGGAGATTAATGGTGGGTAGCCTATGCTCCTCAATGACAGGTAACTTACTTACTTACTTGCGTCTGTTACACCCAATGGAGCATAGGTCACAGACCAGCATTCTGCATCCCACTCTGTCCTGGCCCTTGCTTTCTAGTTCTATCCTATTTTTGTTCATTTTTCTCGTGTCAGTCTCCATTTCTCGACATAATGTGTTCTTTGGTCTTTCTTTCTTCCTTTCACTTTGAGGATTCCATGTGAGGGCTTGCCTTATGACACACTTGGGTGTATTCCTCAATGTGTGTTCTATCCACTTCCAGCACTTCTTCCTAATTTCTTGCTCCACTGGTTTCTTTTTTGTTCTCTCTCACAGTAGGTTGTTGCTGATAGTGTCTAATCAATGGATCCGAAGTATTTTATGTAGACAACAGTTGTTGAACACTTGTATCTTCTGGATGATGGCTTTCGTAGTTCTCCAGGTTTCCGCCCCTCATACAGTAGGACTGTCTTGACATTAATATTTAAAATTATGACTATGGTGTTGGTTGACAGTTGTTTTGAGTTCCAGAAGTTTTTCAATCTTAGATATGTTGCACTTTGCTGATCCACGCATCCACATTTGTATCAGATCCACCGTGTTCATCAATTATGCCACCCAGATATGTAAAGATTTTAACATCCTCCAACGCTTCTACATCAAGTGTGATTTGATTGGTGCATGTTGTGTTTTTTGTCGGAGAATATTGCTTTCCAAGGTGGAGTTTAGGGCTAATAGACGTTGGTAAGTAACTAAATAATACTGAGCATATTGTTTCGATATCGCCTTAATTCATAATTATTATACAGGTATATCCATCTGACGAATCCCGAATAGGACGAAACACACGTTCTGGCTTCCACTACTGGATAGATAGACAGATAGATTGTGAGAGACAGAGATGTGTGGATAGGTAGATGGTTAGATAGGTAGATAGATAGATGTGTGGATGGACAGATAGATAGATAGGTAGGTGTATGTCGAATTGAATGGATGTCTATTTAGAAAAACAGCAAGAGAAAAAAACGTTGAACCAAGTGTTTATTATTAATGAAATGAAGTTTCGAATAAATAAACAACACACCATTGAGATGTCATAACTTGAAACTATGTAATTTTACTAATAAGGATTAATGATTACTGAAATTGACTGAATATTGTTTTTAATACATTCATATATACATATACATATATATTATAGGCCATAGTGATGACCGGTTGTGACTATGTTTAATTGGTATGATTTATGTAGGCTAATTTTAGATGTTTAGTTCTATTCATTAGAACTGTTCTTTTATTCAGTATGACACTAATAAGCACAATAAATGAACTTAATTACTTACTTACTTACTTAATTACATCTGTTACGCAATCATGGTTGAGCATAGGCCAGACACCAGCATTATCCATCCATCTCTGTCCTGGACAATCCTTTCCAATGTGTTGTTCAATCCTCTACTTTTCTGTTTCTCTTCACAAGTTGAAGTCAGGATTTGCCTCATGATGTAGTTTGATGACTTACTCAATGTGTATATTATTGTTATAACATATGACTGCCGATTAGAGAGCAGTGACTTATCGATCGTGCGAGCAGCCTAGAGTTCTGATTAGCCCAGCCAGTCAAGTCCAGAACGCAAGTCTCAGCCTCTTCAATATGAATCATTATATTTCAAACATACTAAGTTTATATACTCATCAAACAGACCACAACGTACCAATAAAATATGAAATAACATTTGTACAAGAATTAGCTAGATGTGACTGTGAATGAGGGAGGTAGTAATTAATAGACAGGGCATAATTCAAGAATGGCAAATTGTATAATAATAGTTCATAGGTCAAAATAAAGCTTAGAATAAGAGGAAGATGATTATGAATAGTTTGGTTACTTCATAATTTTACAATAGAAATACACGTTTACTATTGGTCCATCAATAGATCCCAAAGGTTACCGTTCATTATTCTTATGGGAACATAACACCTATCCACTTCAATTGTCTTTTCCTAATTACTTCTTCAGATGGAAGTTGGTTCGTTCTCTCCCACATTAGGTTGTTGCTGATGGTATCTAGTCAACGGACATTGAGTATCTTGTATAGGCAATTATTTATAAATACTTTTATCATTTCGATGATGGTTATAGTAGGTCTGGAAGTTTTAACTCTATACATTAGAACCAACTGTCTTGACGTCAGTATCGTTGATTGTGACTCTGATATTGGTTGACAGACAGTCGGTTTGAGTTCCATATGCTGTTCAACTGTATGAACGCTATCCTTACTTTGACAATCCTAACCTTTACGTCTGCATTGGTTTCTCCTCGTTCATCGATGATGCTGCCCAGACACGTGAAACTTCCAACCTCTTCCAGGGTTTCACCAACGAGTGTGACTGGTTTGGTTTGTGTTGTATTTGTTAATGTTGCTTTTCCCTTTGTATATATTGAAGCCTACTGATGCATAGACTGCTACTACACTATTTCTCTTCATCTGTATTTGTTGGTGTGTATGGGATAGAAGAGCCATGCCATCTGTGACGTCCAAATCCTCTAGTTGCTATGCCAATAGCTTTACTTAATCAAAATAGTTTTCTGGTTGACAAATTATCACTACAATCATCAGTAAGCTGATAGTATATAGACTACTTCTTCAACTTACTTATTATAAAATGGTTATAACTGTTTCAATTAACTTAAACATTGAAATATTTGTCATTTTAGTTTAACATAAACACATTCATTTTTATCAGAAGGGTATTTTGTGGATATTATAGTAATTTTAATGGTTGAGATCATGAGTCGATTGAAGCTAGAAAACTGGAAAACCTGAAAAATTGGATGATCACTTCGTCCTACTGTAGGACTCCTCAGCAGTGCTCATCCACGATGCTGCTCCATTACATTAGTAGGTGTTTATCAGGACTCAATAGCTAAGTGGATAACGTGATGGCATTTGAAGTGAACGGTATTTAGTTTGATTCTCAGGGTGAACATCAACTCTGAAATCCAGATACATCCAGATTACAAGTCCTAAATAGAACTAAACTGACTTTCTGGTTTCCACTACTAGTCACTATCCATATTCGCTTGGTACAATCAATGTGCATTTTATGATTGATGCTGTTAAGAACCAGTAACAAATCATAATTTTTCAAATATTTAACATACTGAGTTAATAAACTTGGTTTCTTTAGTAAGAGTTTAGTGAACGACACCAGAAGTAGGATACAATCGAATATATTTGAATATGAAATTACAGAACTCCTTATTAAAATCTAAAAAAACTATACCATGAATAGTTCATTTGCGAAATATTCATCCATCATCTCAGACTTTATTGTTCCTCTATTCTCATATCAAACCATACCAAGTGAATTCAAATTCACCCCATCGGACAAGCAAGCGACTATCAGGACTCAGTAGCTGAGTGGATAACGCGATGGCGTTTGAAGTGAATGGTACTGAGTTCGTGTCTCAGAGTGAACATCAACTCTCTGAGATGCAGATACATCCAGCTGACCAGTCACAAATAGGACGAAGTGACGCGCGTCCTGGATTCCACTGCTAACCACTATCCATCATTGCTTACAAATAACTTGTGAATTAAGGTAATATCGAGGCGTACGCACAGTATCCACTTATGCCAATAACAGACTGATCAATTTCAGTCTTAAACCTCAATGGGAAGATACAAGCCAAACAATACCAAATGAATTCCAATAACTTTCTGTTCCCATTCTATTCTCCTTAATCTTCTTAACTTTCTACTGAGAGACATTCAATTATTGTTTAAACATGATATACTACTTATGCTAATATAAGTAGCACACACACACACTATACAAGAGGAATATAATTGTCATTGTAATTGTTTATTGATAAATACAATATTATTGTCTTGATCGCCTACACTTACCAATATCCATTGGATAAAATAGTTCATTGTATCATTGAAATAAAGCACAATTCATTAACCAATCAAATTTGTTTGTGTATTTTTTGTTGTTGTTGTTGTTGTTGATTCTCTATATAGTTGATGATTTCGTTTTCCATATTTATCTTAAACACCATAGTGATTCAATTCAGGCGAAATTCATTTTCAACATTTTTCATCATCATTAAAAGACCTTAGTAACTAAAAAAAATAATGAAACTTTTCATTGAATAAAAAGAAAAACAAGAAAAAAGAGAGAAAAAAGAAAAAAGAGAAAAAAGAAAAAAAGAAAAACATTTTCATGATGATTTATTTAACACGTTGGTCCATGTTATATGCAAGTTTATATATATTAGTCTATTTAATTTATCAATCAAAATTAATATGGACATTATCTAATTCATCTATTTATTCCTATACATATACTACTTATATCCCATCAGTAATATTCAATAGTCATGACTTAGTAGTAAATAAGCATCATCATCATCATCATCCTAAACAAATCCAGTTAAATTGTCCATTAATTCATGCCCAACATGGTGATTTATTAATGATTTTTAAATCAAATTTACCTATTCATCAAGTGATATTAAATGAGACTAATTTCAAAGTTCATTATGCATTGAATATTGATCATCATGATCATAATGATTATACTACTGATTATTGGTGTAAATTACATCGTACAATAAATAATGATTATCATATCATATCAGAAATTCAATTAATTCTTACATCGAATCTAAGTAAGTGATCTATTCTTTATTGATGATGTACTATAATATAATAATAAAGATGAATAATAGTCAATCAGTTATAATAGAGGATGAGACATAGATAGACATCAGTCTAGGTAACTATAATTTACTTATTAGCACAACAAGATGAACATTGAATTCATAGAAATAGTTAATTTAATGATAGTGTGATGTGTGTGCTACTTATATTGACATAAGTAGTATATGATGTTAGTCAGGAACAGAAGGTCTGGCAGCAGAGAGACAAGAGGATCGAACAGTAAAGAATGAAAACAGAATGCGATTTGTATCAAAATGCAAGAACAATGAAGTCTGAGTCATTTTGAGACAATTGATGGACATTTTGCAAATGAAGCATTTACTTTATGATTGTTAGATTTCATTAACAAGTCCTTTAATGTTTTGTTGAAAACATTCGATTGTCCCCACTGGTGTTCTGTTCACTACAATAGTAATGTATAAGAAAAAGAGAGAGATTGAAGGGAGAAAGAATTAGTTTGTAGGAAGAGAAGTGTAAAGTGAGTTTAATCTGATGGTTTAAAAAAAGACAAACAGTGTAGACACCTATACCATTTTGTTCGATTCTAATTTATATTACACAAAGTCTCTAAAGATTGGCTACGATAGTTGCGCGGATCCTAATCAATTAGTGTGTATCTACCAACATGACTTTACGGATTGATATCATGTTTTGGTTTGGCTAACCTCTAACTTTGTCCTCACAATCTGAAACATTAATCAGCTTTGTGAGTCGTGATAATTGGTGTTCAGCTATACATGACACAACTATCACAATCGTTGAAGATTTCCAACTTCATTAACTAATTTTTCATCATCACTCAATAGATTGAATCTAACCTCGTTATTACTTACCTGGTGATCCTGGCAGATGAATCCACAATGAATAGATCATTCAATTTAGGACTCATCAACTAGATATACCTACATCTCATAGTTGATGTTCAATTCAGAACTTGATTTTAAAGTAACATTCAGATAATCTGTACAAAGATATATATACATATATACTAATAAAAGACTGGTCAATTATAGACTTAAACATCAGTTAGAAGATTCAAGTTTCGTCCTATTGTGTGACTCCTCAGTAGTGCACACCCACGACCTAGCCTCGTGGGATTCGAACCCAGGACCTACCAGTCTCGTGCCAGGAGCCTAAGCATTAGATCACTGAGCCGTCATCCAACGGTGTTTATTGTCTAACTTTAATTTGTTTATTTAAACACATAAAAATTGGTATAAGGAGGCACTAATCTAGATATGCACCACATAAATTATTCTGTTTATGTAGGAGTTAGGATACTACTCAAGTGAACAAACCGGACTAGGTTATTTTCTTAGGGGTATTTCACGCTGAGCCTTTCATCTAAAGGTCTAATCGTAAGTCATTTAGGTGTACTTGTTGTCAATCACAAACCTTTATTCACTTCGTATATAAGAATGAACTGAACATCATGACAAGAATTGAAATGAAACAATTCATCAAATATTCTTTGTTCATTAACCTTTTTCAGGTTAGAAACTGTTTATGATAATAAAAACAATAATGTCCACCTTATTCAATTGTAGTAAAACGTTTTTAGCACACCTTAACAGTATTACAATGAACAAAGATGTATAGTGGCTAGTAGTGGAATTCAGGACGGGCGTTTCATTCTATTTTGGACTCATCAGAGGAATATAACAATAGTTCAGGATTGATGTTCACTTCAGGTTTCAAATCCAATACCGTTTGCTTCAAACGACGTCATGTTATTCACTTAGCTATTTAGTCCTGATAGCCACTAGCTTATGCAGTGAGGTGAAGTTTTAAATTCACTTGGTATTATTTACTTGAATTTTCTCATTAATATTAAGGACTGTATTCTCAATCCGATCCCGTCCTGAGCAATTCTGTCCAGTTCTTATTCATCCATTTCAAGTCTGCTTCCAACTCCCAACTTAACGTATTCTTTGTTATTCCTCTTTTCTGTTCTCATTCAGGATTTCAAATTAGATTAACAGCATTATTACTTTACTTTTGCTTGTTAGTCACAATAGAGAATGGGCCGTCGGCCAGCATTCTCCAACCTACTCTATCCTGGACCTTCCTTACTTGTTCTATTCAATTGTTGTTCATTCTTCTTATGTCTGTCTGTCTGTATCCATTTCTCAGTGTAATGTGTTCTTTGGTCTTCCTCTTCTGTTCTGGCTTTGAGGATTCCATGTAAGGGCTTGCCTCGTGACACCGTTCGATATATATATATTCTATAGTTCATAGAATTATAGCATATTCCTCTTATAAGCAAAGATGGATAGTGGCTAGCAGTGCAATCCAGGATGTGCACCACTTCGTCCTATATTTGGGAATCGTCAGCCCGATGTACCTGCATCTCAGAGTTGATGTTCATCCTGAGACTCGAACCCAGTATCGTTCGTTTCAAATACCACCACGTTATCCACTTAGTTGCTGAGTCCTGATAGTCACTTGATTGTGCAACGGGGTGAAGTTTACTTCACTTAGTATTATTTTACTTGAATTTTCCCATTGATGTTTAGGACTGAAATTGATCAGTCTCTTATTGGCATATGTGCATACTGTGTGTACTGTCTTAATTTACAAGCATTATAAGTAGAGATGGAATAATCAATTTCGGTCCTAAACATCAATGGGAAGATTCAAGTAAAGTAATACCAAGTGAATATTCCTCTTCGTTCTATAAAATTGTTATTAGAATACTCAACTATTAGATAATAATTCTATCAAATTGAATCTTCAATATTCATAGTTCAATATATACATTTCATCATGAATATAGATTGTTGTATGATTCAAGAACAAATCACGTTTCTAATATTTTTCCGATTTCAATAGTTGCTTAACTACAATTCATTTATGAGATTAGATGGTGGTTGGAGGTAGTCGACCAGAACCCTGGACCGAAGTTTCGTGCTACTGTAGTGGCTGTGCTTCGTTGACCAATCACCCTCGTAAACGTTATCATATAATCCTCAACGGTGTTTGAAATCAAAAGGCAAAGAGAAGCAGCGACTACAGTTTTATTAGTGGATAACTCAGACCACAAAGCAGTGAAGCGAATGAGTGAGTCAGAGAAATGAGAGTGTAGAGTGTTAAATGTACACGTATATATATAGGGAAATGAATGGATCATCGAATCAATTAAGCAGCTAATAATGAAGCTAGCAGAGTGAATAAATGCGTAGGCAGTAAGCAGTGTTCAAGCATACATATTTCACACAAGCACAACAATGATAAAGGTACAATAAGTTGTTATATAGTACGGATGACTTTGTCCGCTAAATAAGTTCACAAAAGGGATTAACCGAATTGAATGAGAACAAATTCAATTGTATATGAGTTGCTGTAATATTTAGCACTCGTCAGCAAGGTGTACCTGTAATCTTAAACGAACTGATGCTCCCTGACGGATTAGCACTTGACATACATGACATTGATCACCACCCAGTGATCAATCAATTACGATTACAATTCATTGATATATCTAAAAAAAGTTCATTATGTTGTTTGTTTATCTTGATCGACAAGTTACCTTGTTCAATTCATCTTACTATTTCTATACTAAATAGATCCATTCTCATACTGATCTATATTAGAATCAATATGAAAGTTTTCTAAACATCTATTATATGGTTCTATTCATTTTCAATTAAGATAAATTATAAATGAACATTAAAATAGATGACCTTGTAGAAGAAAATACCATCACCACCACCACCACCATCACCACCACCATCACCAACACCATCCCCGGAAACAATTATTCAATTTAATTAAAATTAATTACTTAGTTACTTAGTTAAACCTGTTACCTCTTATGAAGAAGGGAACTTAATTAAAATTGATGCCTTTAAAATAAAAGGGGGAGGGGTTTCTTGTTCTTGTCTCATATTCATAATCATTATTATTATATCACTACAATCAATGATAAAGATGTACTTTATATTATTAATAATAATAAGAAGAGGAATACAAAGATTTGTAAATAAAGATAACACAGCCAATTGCAATTGACTAAGAAAGTACAATGATCAAATTCAGTCATTCAATAGTTAAGATTACTATTGACTAATTGATATTGAAGTTGGTTATGGGAGGAAATATGGTTGAAGATAGTTCTTTTGTATGCATAGTTCTAGTTTCTTCATCTGGATGGTTATTGTTTAAGACGTTTGAAGGACTTTAAGTCTGTCAAGCTTTAGGGAAATATTACTAACCTAATAAATAATTGAAAAAGGATTGATTTATACTGGTACTATAACTAGTTTGCACTAAATAGGTCAATATCGAGCTGTTCACTTTCTTCATCAAACCTTTGTTTAGCCATGCTAGGAGGTGTTCACGAGCAGGAATTCCTAGAACTTTGACCAATATAAGTTGCTTCACAGGAGCAGTTAAACTGATAACTATAAAATGAGGTAGTCATTCGAAGTAATTCATCTTTTAGCTTCGATGTCACCATTGGGCACATAGAAAACAATAATCGTAGTTCTCCGGCGTTGAATGATTTTTGAATTGTTTTACATGATCTCTCAGTTAATTGAAAAGAATTGATTTATACTGGCACTATAACTAGTTTGCAATAAAATGTACTTTACCCTTAACCTGGTCATTTTTCCGGATTATTAATCTGGGTATATGAATTGTGGAACTTAAAACGAGTTTATTGAACAGAACATTCTTTGTTCATAGATTGAGTCTTTTGAAGATGAGGGAGAACCTTCAAATACTACTACTACTACTACTACTACTGTAGTGAACAAAAGAACACCAGTGGGGACAATCGAATGCAATAAACACCAAATTACAGGACTTGTTAATGAAATCTAACAATCAATCATAAAGTGAATGCTTCATTTGCAAAATGTCCATCAATTGTCTCATAATGACTCAGACTTCATTGTTCTTGCATTTTCATACAAATTGCATTCTGTTTCGATTGTTTACTATT